TTATGTGCCCCTGCATGCTGCCTCTTTAATTCCGGGAGAATTCCTAACCCAAGTGAGTGTTCCACCAGTGATTCGAGCCCGATTGATTGCTTGTGCACTCGCTTCTTTTTCGTGCTTTCTCCACCTGTAACATATCAAACTCATGGCACTAGGCAGTAATGATTTTTCAACCATTCCCGCGTTAGCGAGCCCTAAAATAGCACCAATTGGCTTAAATATATCATGGGATAGTCACATAAAGTTCAAGAATCCGATATATTAAAGCCGATTATCACAACCCCACACTCAGTTGTTGCTTGTCCCTAAGCAACGACTCAAAAGACACAAACACATAACCATCCAAAACAATGACACACCACAGACTCAACACTCAAACACTCAAAACAAAACACAAAATTTCCTTGTACTCTTGTTGTAATCAGTAGTTTCTTTCTTAATGGATGAGTTGTACTTTATTGATCATACCCTTTCACCCCACACTCAAGCTCTTTGCAACCATTACCAATGACTGACTCAAATTCATCAAAAACTCAAATAGCAACACTCAATTCCGATCGTCGGTAGTGGGTGATTAACAACTTATGGTGTAACAGTTATTAGGCGAATCTAACCACATCAGTGAGGTGCATATCTCGTGAGGTCAATCTGGCTTACTCACACCAATCATAAGCAATTAACAAAGCATGAGTCTCAAAAATAAATGGGGGAAGCTTTTCGCAAACATGATTTTAACTTTAAGCACATCACTACCTTTTATGACAAGGAGAGGCTTTCTCTCTTTCTGCTTTTGCTTGCCGAGTGATCGTATTTAGTACAAGTGGGATTTGTTTCTTTCTACCGGTGACCGAGCAAGAGCAATTTCTGCTTCTTAGCACTCGCATAAGGGCTTCTTTTAACTCCTTTTCCTCGGTCCGTGTGGAGGGTCATTGCCATCCTCTAATGGCACTTCACTCAACTGGGGATCGTACTTGATAAGCAACATCGTACGGTCGCGAACCGATTCTCAATTGAATCTTTCCTAATCCCCATGTGCAATGAGTGATTGCCTCACACGATTTTGGTATTTTACCCACACTTTAATTGTTATGGCAACTTTCTTATATTTTACTTGTCAGGTAGGATTTTTTTCTTTTATAAAGATAAAGTTCACCCCATCATAAAACCTTTTAAAACAGAGAGACTCAATGCAAAGTCAAAAGCTCACATCAACTGCAAGTAAGCACGGTATCCAAACATGTCGAATGGTCAATGTTCTCAACCTAACTACTTCACCACAAGTCATTACACTATCCTCACAAAAGAGAACGTTGCTAAAAGAGTTTTGCTCATTCAAAGCATATCCAGTCAGTCAAACTATCAAGCTCATTGTGAAGAACTTTGCAATTCAACACTAGTGGGGTGATTTTGATGATTTCATTCATGCACAAACTCATTTCACACGCATCACGGCCATTCACATCATGTTACCACAAGAGTACAAGGTTTTGTTTTAAATTTTTCTGATTTTTATGTGTTTTTTAGCCATTAGGTTAACACAGGCAGACTGCATGCAGTTTGACTGTGCACAGCCAAATGACAGTATTTTTTTTTTGGTTTTTTTCTACCACATGCAGCAGGGACAAACAACACTAAGACTCACCACCCCACACTCAGGATGGAACATTGTCCCTAATGTTCAACTCCTAATCTAAACATGCACGGGTTTGACACAACAAAAAAGAAAAATAAAGAAAAGAAAACTCACCTTGGGTTGCCTCCCAAGAAGTGCTTGTTTAACGTCCTCAGTCTGACGTTCATGGAGCTTTTAGCCAATGGGTATGGAAAGGTATCCAGAATACCCTCCCGAATAATTATAGAACGCATAACCTCCATCTAGCATATGAGTCACCTCTGCAGGGCCAGGTGTGCGAAAATTGGGTATGACCTTCTTAGCTGGCATGTTGGACCCCTTAGTGAGGCGTAGGTGGTATTGCAGTGCCTCAAGCAAGTACTCTTCCTGTTTTGATGTTAGTGAAGAAGGAATAATAACAGGAAGATTGAAATCCTTACCCAAATATCTATACTTGAGGTGATCTGGCAAGGATTTTTGTCCTTGCTTTGATTTCAGAATCTGAGCAGATAGGACATGTGATAGTTGTTCAGGTTGTCCACTATCACAGGAAAAGGGATTTTTCCTTTCTCGAGCTCCACTTTCAAAGTCATCAAATGCATCGTGATTATGATCAACTTGAAAGACATTAAAAATTTCCTCCTCCTTACCTACTCGGAATGTCAGTTTGCCTCTCCCAACATCGATGAGTGCATCTCCAGTTGCTAGAAAAGGTCTCCCAAGAATGAGAGGCACTCCCCGATCTTCTTCCATCTCCAGAATCACAAAATCTGTAGGGACAATAAACTTCCCAACCTTCACCAATACATTCTCCACCACTCCCTTTGGAATTTTTACTGATCGATCAGCCAATTGGAGAGTGATCCGAGTAGGTTTAAGAACATCTCCCAATCCCAATTTCTTGTAGACTGAGTATGGCATCAAATTAATTCCTGCTCCAAGATCACAAAGTGATTTATCGAACTTTCTACCTCCAATGACACATGGAATGGTGAAGCTGCCTGGATCATCCCTCTTTTCTGGTAATTTATTCTGAATCACGGCACTACATTCAGAAGTAAGGGTTACCTTCTCTAGATCAGCCCATTTACGCTTCTTTGTTAGCAACTCCATTAAGAATTTAGCATATGTAGGCATTTGTTCAAGTGCCTCCGCCAACGGTATGTTGATATGAAGTTGTTTGAAGATATTCACAAATTTCTTGAAGTTTGGGTCTTCCATGGGCTTCATTAACCTTTGACGGAATGGTGCGGGAGGTTCATAAGGCTTTACCTCTTCATTCTTGAATTTTTCCACCTTTGGAGGTGCACAGGCAGAATGCTCATGCACAGGCAGATTGCATGCAGTTTGCCTGTGCAAGTCAGATTTTTCAGCTTTTGCACTTTCTTCCTCTGTAGCTCCTTTTCCCTCCTTTTCTATTGGATTTCTCTTGCTCTTTGGATCCTCCAACTCCTTCCCACTCCTCAATGTGACTGCTACAACCATGGCATCCTTTGGATTCCTCTCAGTATTTGCCGGTAATGTCCCAGGAATCCTACCTTGAATATCTGCCAAAGTTTGAGCCATTTGGCCTATTTGCCTCTCCATAGCTAGCATAGATGATTGCATATTATTGTTGATGGCTAGCTGTTGAGTGACAAATTGATCAAGACCCTTGAAATTATTGTTTGTTTTCTGCATATGAGCCAAAATCAACTCCTCTAGTTGGGGCTTCTTCTCTAGTTGAGGTTGCTGCTGCTGAAAACCAGGAGGTGGGATGTTTCGAACACCAACTGGATTATTGTTTGACCATGACATATTGGGGTGATGTCTCCATTGAGGGTTTTTTTTTGACTGATCCATTGAGGGTTATACGTATTTGAATACATACTACCCTGGCCTTGACTTCGCGGATTATTGATATATTGGACATCTTCCAACTGAGCAGCTCCCAGTGGACACATATCCCTATGATGAGCACCCTCGCAAAGTTCACATGAAACAACCTCCTCTTGTCTACCAAGAGCAATCTTGGCCAACCTTCGTTCGAGTGCATCAAACTTGGAATCCAGCTTGGCATCTATCTTGGCTTCTAGACTCGCAACTCTGTTTATCTCATGCAAGCCTCCTCTTCTTCGAGTACTGGTCTCACTACCCCATTCAGTGGCTTCTGAACAGATCTTCTCTACCAGATCATATGCTGCTGGTGCCTCCATGCTTGTGAAACCATTTCTAGAAGCATTATTCAGGGCATCCCGGAACTCCCTTCTGATTCCATTGAAGAAAATAATGATCACGTTCCAATCTTCAAGACCATGGCTTGGGCATCTCATCAATAGCCCCTTATAGCGCTCCCATGCCTCAGTCAGACTCTCATCATCAGCCTGCTTAAAAGTAACAATTTCCTCTTGCCTCTTCATTGCCAAGGCAGGTGGGAAGTATTTATCCAGAAAGACCTTCTCAAGCTGAGCCCATGTCGTGATGGAACGTGGTGTTAAGTTCTGAAACCAGTGTGATGCATTCCCTATCAGAGAGAATGAGAACATTCGAAGATGAATTACATCATCAGACACAGTTGGGCTCTTCATCGTATCGCATATGCTCGCGAACAGGCGGAGATGCTCGTGAGGATCCTCACTGCTAGCCCCGGAGAAAGTGCACCCGTTGGTGATCATATTGATAAATGCTGGGGTAATCTCCATGGTTGCATCACCAGCCGGAATGACAACACATGAAGCTCGGGCTCCAGTCCTTCGATTCAAGCGAGCCCTGATCGAACGATCCTGGTCTGCCATGATGACAGGCTCGATGTCGCGCGGTGGTGGTGGTGTCGGTGGTGTAGGGATGACAGGTGATGAAGTCTGCCCTCTCTGTTGACGATTATGGGTTAGGGAAGGCCTAGAAGTTGTGGTTGTGGTAGGCTGCTTCCCTAACTTAACCTGCTTCCTGTTCTGTCGGCAGTGCTTCTCGATCTCCGGGTCTAGTGGCAGTAAATCGCCGCTCGTCCTCCTAGGCATGCACAAGGAGGATAAACCTGAAATTCACCTGCACACTAGAACACAGATCAAAATATTTCACTTTGGCACCATCATATGAGGGGAAACAATGCACTTTGGCACCATCATTAACTCCAAAACTTCAGCTCTTGTTTTAAATGACTGTGGCACATGCATATTCATTTCATCACCATCAAAATCGGCATTATATGGAGAAGTGTCAGACAAGTTCAAGCGCAAAGTTGAATATGGCATGATCTTGATTCTGTGACCCATAATTGACATCTTATGGAGACTTGGCTATCGATTGAAAAGAACTAAGTTCCCATCATTCAAATGTCGTTCAACCTGCAGGTATAAAGTATGAGATCAAATGCACAAATAGAGAAACAATAATCATAAATTAACTTCCCAGTTCAAGAAAATGCCTTGTAACCAAGCTCCAGATGATGATCACTACTTTTCTTCAAGTAGCGGAGGTCAAGTCTCTGCCCTTCATCTCTTATAATGTATTTTGCACCAGTTTTACTAGGAGGAGGATGTGGCCCATACTCAACAAGATCCTTCAACCTGTTTTAATCACAACATCATCACTAACAACTAGAAAATGTATATTCCTATTTGTTTGAGAGTGGTGCGTAAGAACTTTGTTAAGGGATGGGAGAAACTGACAAAATCAGTTGAAAGAAAAAAACACAAAACCAAAATCCAGACCTTTCAATGTTATACGGAGTAACAGTTTCAGGATAGGTGAGATTCAACACAATACTCCATGGTACTCCAAGTTGATCAATGTTGATGGTGGGATCGGGAGTAATCACTGTACGAGCAGAGAAGTCAACTCGTTTCCCCAATAGATTACCCCTAATACGACCCTGTTTGGCCTTGAGCCTAATGCATATTGATTTGATGGGCCTTCCTGATCTCTGAGTGGCCTGCAGAACAAAAAGAAATGCTTGTGAATTAAGAATAATGATCATTCAGAGAACATAGGATCAAAAGTAACATCTTTGAAAGCGCACAAACCCTCAGCTGTCCCGGTAACTCATTGTCAAAATATGTGGCTACATGAAATTGTAACAACTGTGCAAACTCAGATATGATGTGTGCAGGAGCCCCACTCCGTTCTTGACGTCTTAGATTCTCATTGTGCCTGATAATCATTGACAACTGATGGGTAAGATCATCCTGGGTTTAGAAAAGAATTAATGTTAGAATATACAATGGCCAAAAAATAAACCTTAGCCCCTTTAAAGTAAGACCGCCTCGGGCAAAAACTGAATACTCAAAACAACCAGAAAATTTTCAAGTCAATATAAGGAATCAGAATCTTGCCTCACTGCGGGAGGATGTATCCATGACAGAGGGTCTCACAGGTGGTGGTGGAATCGGAAGTACTTGCAGGATCATCCAGTCTGGGCGTGCATACTTAGGGTTTAGCCCCAGTAATTGGCAATCCTCATCACTTATTCGTTGGAGAACACTAAGAACCTGTAAAGGAAATAAGAGCAAATAAAAACCAAGTTATAGGTTAAACCAGATGTTGAAAGCATGGAAACATATTTACTCTTTATGCTGTAAGTGTCTGTTTCCTCTCAACAAGTTCAGGCAGTTGCTCCTGATCATCCCTTTTCTTCCTTTGCGCCTTGTACTCAGCAATCAACTTTATACCTTCAATAGTAATCTTTGGCTGCTGAGCACCACCTCCACCACGGCTCTTCTTAACTGGCTCTTCTCGTCTTGGCCCCGAACCTCAATTTCATCCCCACCTTCACACTTTGTCTTTTTCTTGGAAGCATGCAGGATCTTTCTAAGTTTTTTTTTTTGGATTCCTTATTTTCAAGGCTTGCTTAAACTTATGGTCTTCCTGTAGATAAATCAGTAGAAGGAAAATCCTGTAACTTGAAAATTGAAACGGGGAAGTTGACAACATCCAACAAGAGTCATCCCATGCACAAAAATGAAGGACAAGCTGTGATGCCTAATTCATGCACGCTCGATTAACCAACATCCAGGAGGGAAAGGCAAACGGAGGGAGGAAGAAAAGCCGGAGAAAGAAAGGCCAACTTAATGCTCTAGTATGAAACATCCTGGAGTCGAGAAGCCACTATGCTGATTAGAAAGAACACGACCGACGTGATAACAGTTTGATTGAATGACACATGGAGGCTGAGGGTACCTCACCTGCAAGAATCTTCAAACAATTGAAGCAAAAACATCTCATTATGCAGAGCAGTCTTCATGAACCCTATATGGAACATGGGCTTAGCAAGCTCCAAGTGTCCAAAATGCCCAAGACACTCTGCCATGTTCGCAGTGCAATTCTCGCACTTCATTTTCCTGTCAATTGTTCCCAACCGAGGATCACTCAGGCCTGCAACCTTGGGCTTCCCCCGCTCAGTGGTCTCGCTATGCTCAATCTGGACAACATACATTTGCCTCTGCAGACAACCAGAGGAAAAGGGTTCAGAAACACGGTTCGGAGGTCAATTAAACTCAATCGTATAACTCTAGCTACTTCATTCACTCGCTGTCAATAACCACCAAAGCGCCCCGGAACACCGGCTCCAATTCAAACAATACAAGTCCTAGTGAGTACTCTCCCACCAAACAAATCAAAAACCAGACGAGGAGAAACAGAGAAGGAAGGGGAGAGAAAGAGGAGAGAATTACGATCTTGTTAGGATTGAGTATGCCAAATTGAACAAAGCGGTTTAGCGACTTTGATAGAAACCCGCATTTTCTATAATTTGTTTATTCGAATTATCTTTGTCGGTTTATTATTTTCATGACTTGTAGGGATTTATTGGGGATATTTAATAATTCGGGTAACAGTAGAGAATTATCCATTTTCTATAAGAATACTTGTATGTGGGATTGCACCACTAAGAAAGATTAAACCCTAAAATATTTCTCTAATCCCCTCTTCTTTCCTCCTCTCGGCTGAACCCTTCCCTCTCCCCCTTACTACTGCCGATCGGAGGCTTCTCCTCCTCTCCCCTTTTCAATTTCCAAAACCCCTCTTCCACTTCATTTTCCACACGAAAGCCAATCGCTACATTGGTGATTCACCCCTTTTCTCTAAATCCCTAGAAACCGATAGAACCCGAATCTGGGTTTCTATCATCTGGTATCAGAGGCCCGTTATGATCCAAGCGAATAATCGAGGAACAACGGACACGTAATAGCGGTAACAAAGTCACAGAAGGCTGCGGAGAAGGCTGCTGAGGAGGCGGCCCGAGAGAAAGCATCTGCGACCACCGCGGCGACAGGGCAGAGCGGCGGCGAAGAGGCCGGGCCGACACCAACCGCTCCGTTAGCGATAAGGAGCCCGTCGAACCCGGTGACTCGTGGGCTGGAGACGGTCAGGGCGGTTGAGGAGACCGAGATCGAAGAACTTCAAGTTGCGGTGGACGAGCTCCAGGTTGATGTAAAGAGACTTATGGCAGATAGAGAGCTTCCAGAGAGGAGACATTAAGAAGAGATGGGGGAAATTCGACGAGCTCTGACCAAATTAGCACGGGATGCGGAGTTGAGACAAGGAAAAAAACCGAGAGCCGAGACCACCACGGGACTCGAGCTCGAGGTAGGGGAAAAGACGGCAGGGGCGGCGACTCTAGGTGGGGCGGCGGCGGTGGCGAGCCAGACGGCGCCGGCGGGAGCCACGAACTCGGCGGTGGCGGCGGCCATGATTGCCGCGGGGGCAGGTGGGTCGGCAACGACGGTCGGGCTAGGGCAGGAGACGGGGCGTGCGGGCCAAGTTTGCTTGCTTTGGACCCAACGACGATGCGGGCCTGCTTCCGACGCTGACGGCCTAGTAAATGGTGGCACGGCGTGGCAAGACCAAATTGTCGGGCTATGTAATGTGGGTCTTGAATGGGGTTCGGGGTCGCTGGGCCCAATGACCCATGAAGAAGAAGGAGGTCGGGTCCGGTTTGTTATTTTTTATAATTTGCTTATTTGGATTATCTTTGTCGGTTTGTTATTTTCATGACTTGTAGGAATTTATTGGGGATATTTAATAATTTGGGTAGCAGTAGGGAATTATCCATTTTCTATAAGAATATTTGTACGTGGGATTAGACCACTAAGCAAGATTAAACCCTAAAATATTTCTCTAATCCCCTCTTCTTTTTTTCCTCTCGGCCGAACCCTTCCCTCTCCCCCTTACTGCTGCCGATCGGCGGCTTCTTCTCCTCTCCCCTTCTCAATTTCCAAAACCCCTCTTCCACTCCATTTTCCACACGAAAGCTAATCACTACCTTGGTGATTCTCTTCTTTTCTTTAAATCCCTAGAAACCGATGGAACCCAAATTTTGGGTTTCTATCAGACTTTCGCCGGAGAGAAAGGGAATCGTAGGTCCATTGCGATCGTATTTACGCAAAATCCGCCCCTTCTCTAGGGTTTGTCAAAGAAAGGAAGACCCAATATTCGTTTCTATATGTTCCTTTTCTTTCTCAGTTCTCCATTCAGTGTCCCCTTCAGGATATTTCCGTTTGTACAGTTGGCTTGGCTTGCGCCTTGCAGTTAAGAAACCGGCCGAAACGGGAGAGCTCTCGCCACAACAACTTTCTGAATCTACAACTGCCGAACAAAATGAATTTTGTGACCCGACGTGTGCATTTATAGAGAAACGAAGGCAGCCGTAGCCTAGAAGCTCCCAATCTCCTTTATTCTGGAAATGCTATCGTGCATTACGTGCGCACTCCCTACTAACAGTATCGTGCGCCATGGGCTCATCTTTATTAATCTGGTCCCTTAGGCTCCATGCCCGTTGGCATCTCTACGACTACTTCTTTTCTTCTTACTAGCTTATAACTCTGTTGTTGGCCGAGATATTCATATTTGATTATTTATATTTTTAAGTTATGTTTAAGTCTATCAATCGTTTAATTTTATTGACAATCTTTCGATGGAGATGATACATAAAGAAAGAATATATAGGTTGACATTTGGAGAAATATCATAATCATTAAGAAAATAAAATATAATAATGTATCATTGATCCCATTTTCATAATGATAATTATGTCCTCGGTGAAATGTTATTAGTTAGTTGATTGTCAAGAAAGATAGAGTATAAAAGCTCTTAAATCTCGCAATCCTACATAAAGGGTTTAATGCTCCCCTTTTAGGAACAATATATCACTAATAAAACAGAAATGAAGAGTTGTTAATCCAAGTCAACTATATACTAACAACTCAATTAGGGGACCATCAAAACTTGATAATCAGGGTTGTATTGTGCAGGATCAGAACACGGGGAAGGGTACTGGGCAAGGGTAGGAAGGATGGCCGCGTTTTTATCCTTGAGGAGTATGATCATGGACCAGCTTTATTGAAGGACGAATCTTGTTTTCGGGTGGATGAAGGCGCGACGGAGGTGGCTGATTCTGGGGCAGCAGGTCTCTCAGCAGGAGGAGATTTATTTGAAGCTGATGTTTTTGTTGAGCATTGTTTTCCATTGAATAAGGATCCTATTTCTTATGTGTTGGATGATTCATTGGCCTATTCAGTTCGGCCTTTAGACTCGTTGGATTTCAGTGTACGTACTTCTGTTGGGATTTATGGCATCGTCGTTTTGGTCATCCTCATAATGCTCGATTGCTTAGTATGTTTCGTCGCAATTTGTTGCCTGATTACCTAACATTCAAATTCGGCCAACCACCTCCATGTGTTCACTATATCGAAGCCAAAACATCTCGGTTCTCGTTCTCTGCTAGTGAAACTTTATATGAGTCTCCATTTGATCTTATTCACACTGATCTGTGGGGTCCCTCACCGGTTACTTCGCGCATGGGATACATTATTTTGCTCTATTTATTGACCACGCCACTCGCTATGCATGCATCTATTTTTTGCGAGGGAAATCAGAGCTTATAGATCATGCTATGACATTTGTTAGCTTATTCGTACTCATTTCGGCAAGACAGTTAAAGTTATAAGATCGGACCCTAGAGGTGAGTTCAGTTCTCATCCGCTGTTGGAGTTTTATCGTTCTAATGGAATTATTTCTCAGCAATCATGCCCTGGGGTGTCACAGCAAAATGGGCCGGTGGAGCGTAAACATCGTCATATACTCGAATTGACTCGAGCGCTCCTTCTTTAGTCTCAAGTTATGTGGTTTCTGGGTAGAGGCCATTAATGCTATGGTGTATGTCATTAATCACCAAATTACATCCACTTTAAATAACCGCTCTCCTTACTTTTGCTTATTCGCGAAGCAGCCGAACTACTCCTGGCTGCGAGTGTTTGGGTGCGTCTGCATTGTTCTCCTGTAGAAGAAGGACCGCCATAAGCTAGAATCAAAGACAACGCGGTGTGTGCTCATGGGTTATAGCGATCGTCATAAGGGGTATCTATGCTATGATCCTGCAGAACGACATATGCGGATTTCCTGCCATGTAGTTTTTCTGGAGCAGGTCATGCATTACTCCATTGTTGCAGCTGATCACGTGCCCACATTGGAGTTCCTTCGTCCTTTGCCAGTTTTTGATACTCCTACTAGTGTTGAAGATGCTCCTAGGCCGCCTGATCCACCATCCCCTCCACCTAATTCTGCTGGATCCCACTTCTCTCTCTCGGCCAGCTCCTCGTCTCCCAACCAGTCTGCATCATCGGTCGACTCCTTTTCTTCCTCGAGTTCGAGTGACTTAGGTGACTCGAGTGGTTCGAACGCTCCTCCGTCTCCACCTCCACTTCGTCGGTCCAACCGAAGCACACTTGGCCAGCCCCCTGTACGAATGCAGGATTATGTTGGCTTCTCTACAGAGCCGATCCCAGTTCCTAGTCATTATAAATTTGAGGTTGGGCACCCGGAATGGGATGCTTCTATGAACGAGGAAACACGTGCTTTAGAAGCTAATCACACCTGGGACATCGTGTCACGTGTTCCGGGTATGCATGTTATGGGTAATCACTGGATTTACAACATCAGAATGTTTCCCGATGGGACGATTGAGCGTCATAAGGCTCGTTTAGTGGCACAGGGTTTCCGCCAGGAGTTTGGCATCAATTATGATGAGAAATTTTCCCCTGTCGTACGCATGCAGACAGTTCATAGTATTTTTGCTGTGGGCGCCATGAAAAATTGGTCTCTTATCTGGTTGGATGTGAAGAATGTCTTTCTGCACGATGATTTAAAAGAGACAATATATATGGAATGTCCTGTTGGCTACGACAAGGGGAGGGATGTGGTTTGTAAGCTTCGCAAGTCGTTGTATGGTCTAAAATAGGCACCGAGGGCATGGTTTGAGAAGTTTCATCGTACTATTCTTCAGGCTGGTTTTATACAGAGTTCCAGTGACCCATCTATGTTTATGCGACATACTGTTCAGGGTATAGTGGTGTTACTCCTCTACGTCGATGACATGATTGTGATCGGCAGTGATGTAGATGGTATTAGGGACTTAACTAAATCTTTACACTCTGCATT